CGTATATACTGACGTCGTTGTTATGACGTTTCAAATAACGTCAGGTTTAGGTCATAGTCACCAATTAGTGACAAAAATCACGTAAATTTACGTCATTACAACGTCAGCTGGTTGCTTGGGTCGTTTCGAAAAACCTTTTTTTTGCAACGGTACATAAGCAGCGTGCTAAACTTCAAACCACAATTTCTCGAAAACGCTTGAGAGGTGCATCATCTCCGTTTAACATTTGTCACTCCTATATCCATACTACATTTCTGCAAAGTTTCGTAAAACTCTGTGACCTCTAAGGTGTAGGCACCACTTGTCAGCGAGATATTTTTGACAACATATGTCAATTTTTGAAAGGGTTAACTTTTTGTAAATATTTATCGTTTTCTTTTATATATTTATTGTATAGCAACAGAAAAGAAATGTTTGTAATTATTTTTAATGACAATATAACTTATATATGTGTGTATATATATATATATATATATATATGTATACATATGTATATATATACAGGGTGTCTTAAAATTGGTGTAACATCTCTCGTACACAGGTAGAAGTAAAACTGAGTCGATAAGTTCTATATCATTTTGCTAGATTCGCAATAGGTACCGAAATCTTAATTAACAAAGATCCGCGAATAAGCGTGCATCGGGCTGTCTTACGCGCGTAGGACAGCCCGACGCGCTTCGCACAATTACATTTTAATATGTATATGTTATAGAGTCTATGCTGTTATATTAGCTCCTCTTATATGCTGCTACGGGTAACACCGTAAGCGCGCGAAGCGCACTGAGCTGTCTTAAGCGCGTAAGACAGCCTGATGCATGCTTATTCACTGATCTTTGTTAATTAAGATCTTGGTAACTATTGCGAATCTAGCAAAATAATATAAAACTTTTTGATTCAATTAAAGAATCTTTAAGGCTCCGAAGTTTCCAAACTAATAAATATATATTCGGTCATAAGAGTAATATAAATTTAATTTCAATTAGGGGGTATTTGGGATCTCTCATATACGATGCAAGTATAGCATCCTATATGAATTTTAGAATTGTTATTACAATTCGAATTTCACGTGTAAAAATTTACACGTGAACACGTATATATGTATATATATACACGTATAATTTCCGCACAACACCTAGCGAACGGCTCTCACGACCGAATATATATTTACTTTTTGATTCAATTTTACTCCTTCTATTTGTTTACAAGAGATGTTACACCAATACTGGAACACCCTGTATATATATATATATATATGCAAAATGCTTCTTTTATAACGCACTTAAATTATGCGTGGAATACATAAATACGTGTGTAACTATATTTACACTATATATAAATGTATAAATATCTTAAAAAGTATATGTTTAAGTGTGTGCATACATTTGTGTGTGTGTGTGTAAAATGCTTCTATTCCTCACTTATTTTTTCACACAAAACACATCCTAAAAGAAAGTGATTAAGCAATTGTATCATTTTTTACGCGTGCACCTCTGAGTGTACGTATTGCCAAGTGATAAGTCAATTTCACGAGGAAAAAGTCTTCCGCATCGTTTTACAGGTACTATAGTAAAACATAAAAAGAAAAGGCTGTTTTCCTCTCAAGAAAAATCAAATTATTGTTTAATAAAGTTTATAATGTTTTACGGCACTATTAACAATTTGGCAGTTAAGTGGAATGATTTATATACAGGTGGAGGCATAAACAAAAACCCTCATGCATTTAATTATTAGAATTTTGTGCTATCAAAGCTTGGCAAAATAAGACCATATAAAGATTAAGTGTCAAACTTTGATTCTTCAATATAAGATTTTTGCTTGTTTTTCTCTAAGTTTTATATCTAATTTTATTAATATATATTTTGTTTTCTAGAGCTACTTTAGTTCCATCTAATCACTTATAAAACCTCTATGTGATCAATATTGGTCATACTTTTTACTGCAACAATTGTTTATTATACATGATGTTTGACAAGTGTGGTGTACAATCTTTCGTAAGCAGGTAGAAGTAAAACTGAGTCAAAAAGTTCTATATTATTTTGCGAGATTCAATCTGATTGCGCAATAGTTACCGAAGTCTTAATTAACAAAGATCCGCGAAGAAGCATCCCTAATAGGCACATTTGTGAAAATATTGCACAAAAATGGCATCATGAATAGCGACGATTTTGCAATGATTGCACTAAGATGATTCGCCATAACGCAACAGTTCTGTCGAAATAAAAGTTTGTAAATATTTGTCAAAAATTGCGAAAAAGTCGTTATGCATTTGCACAATATATACCTTCAATAGGCAAATTGTGAAAATATTGCACAAATATGACATCATGAGTGACGACGATTTCTTGCATTTCTTCATATGCAATCATATTTCTACATATTTTAAACATCACATAGCTGAATTTCTTTTCTCAATTATTGGACAATTTCTTTGTGAAATTAATTTTGCAAATATACTGCTAAGATGATTCGCCATATCGTTAGTCTTTTGCCGAAATAGTATTTGGAAAGTAATTTTGCAAACAACTACAAATATTTCAGAAAAGATCATGTTTTTACATCTCTTTCCTATGTCTGTATAATTGCAAATTACAATTGCAAATTACAATTTTAGTGCAAGATTTCGTCACATATTTTTGTAAATGGTTCCCTATCAGGGATGCATAGGGCTGTCTTACGCACATAAGACAGTACAGTGCGCTTCGCGCGTCAGCGGTGTTACCCGTAGTAACATATGGGAAGAGCTAATACATAACAGCATATACTATAACATATATATAATAAAAGATAACCGCGCGAAGCACGCCGAGCTTTTACGCGCCCGATGCGTGCGTATTCGCGGTTCTTTATTTATCTCAGTAATTATTGCGAATCTCCCAATATGATATAGGATTTTTTGACTCAGGTTTACTTCTTCTGCCTACGAGAGATTGTATACCAAATGTCAGATATTCTGTATATACAGGTGTCCGACAATTACTTTAAAATCTCTCGTGGGCAGGTAGGAGTAAAACTTAGTCGAAAAGTCCTGAACCAATTTTTTCTATTACATATAATAAAGAAGTAATTATTAAATAAATCAAGCCACAATCAGCACCGACCTTTAGCTGAACGCACGTCAGTGAACCACGCGCCTGGTGTGCGTGAGCGCTCCGCACGGCTCACTGACGTGCGCCCGGCTAAAAGTCGGCGCTGATTGATTAATTCAATAATTACTTCTTTATTATATGTAATAGAAAAAATTGGTTCAGGACTTTTCGACTCAGTTTTACTCCTACCTGCCTACGAGAGATTTTAAAGTAATTGTCGGACACCCTGTACATAAGGAAATATCATTATGTATCATTTATATATTGTATCAAGAATATTGATTATGTAAAGGATAAATTACATTAAAAAATTAACAGATGTAATCTTCATGTTTTAACTGTTTTTTCTTTACAAAAGAATGTTCTCATTTTATGATACCAACATATCTCGAATAGCAATATATTAATTTAAGATTGGTGTGATTGACAAGCTGCATATAGTGGTCTTGCCTTTTGTTTAGCTAAATCTGTAGCTTTTTTAGCAGCATCTTTCATTTTCTCTGCTTTACCCTGTAAAGAATACTGCAAATCTCCTGTAATACTTGATTTAGCACCATCATCTGTACTATTATGGCCAGCTTGCATGGAGAAACTTGTCTGAGAGAGATTTGGGTTTATTAACTGAGCTGTGTGAGGAAACATATTTGTAAGAACATAATTAAAGCCTTCAGACATTGTGACACAGTTTTTTTTAAACCGATCTAAACCAAATGCTTGAATAGCTCTACTAAAGCCAAAAACTTGACTATCAATCCATGCTGATCTCTTGGCGACTGTCCATTTTGGATTTTCTTCAGAAATCTGATAAACTACTTTTTCCACTACACTCTGTAAGAAAATACAATATTATTAAAACTATGTAACTGTATTTCCTAATTTATTTGATAATATTTACATATTTCATTTGTAACTTTAAATTTATTAACACATTTATGATCGACAATTTTAAAGCTACTTTACTAGAACACTCGTTTTATTCATGTATCTTATACATCACAAATATGTCATCTAGATTATGTAGAAATATTATATATGTGTGCGATACATAACAATATTAGATGTAAGTCATAAAGATGTCATAATTATGAAACATTGCCATATATCCACAAAAATAATGATCATAATATAACATATTAGATATATAATGTTAATATCAATTTAACATCAACAAATTTGTCCATAAAATATCGATGTTATCATGTTATTTATAAAATCAAGATGCTTTGTGCAATGTAATATTTACATTACAATTGTTTTCTTTATGCATTTCTCTGAGAAAAACATCACACATATAACAATTTTCAAATCATCATAATATAAAGTATCATTGTGTCAAATATCTTATTAATCAAAATAGACCCGCACAGCCTTAAACCACTGATCAAAGGTAGTAAATAAAATAAAATATACAATTTAAATAAGGTGAACGTTTCGATCATTTATTTTTGATCATCCTCAGCACCACTGAATAGAAA